GGGGTACTCAACAAATGTTTATTCGAGGAGGCTCCGCCCCGAGGTCCAACCCCTTACCCTTAATATAGCATTTTTCACGAAAAAGGTACCCCTTCCTTTTAACCGCTGTAAATGCACTGTCTTTTACATAGGAATTAATCACAAAATAGAACGTTTCCCGACGTTTTCAAGCCATAAAATTGTTCTGTTAGCCCTTTTGGGCCCTTTTACAGACCCAAATGACAGATTTACCTACTCTTCAATATACTTCAACTAGTGAAACCGCTACCCTTTGATATACCTGAGGCCTACAAAAGCTAGGTACCCCTTTCGAGGGGAGCGTCCCCGTCGGGTATAGGCCATCATAGGGAGAATCCCCCGGTACAAGAAGTCGCCTAAATCAAGAACAATAATTCATCTTTTTAAAATCATTATTTTTAGTCCCCATGGAGTAAATGACCGCTTTTCATTCAGCTAAATATACCTTATTGACGATACCCGCCAGCCCTGGGATCGAGATTGTTGGTTTCTCAGGGGGCAAACAAGTGAAAAACATTGGCAATGGAAGAAATCGCGGTTGAGATTGTTTATCCTAGACAAAAGGAAATGAAGTCCTGTTTATCTTAAAGAGGATAATCTTAAAATATGGGTGGAAGTGATCATTGTTACTTTACAATATGCAGTAGCGACCGTAAATGTCCTCATGGCAAACAGTAATGACGTAAATCTTCCCAACACTTCGGATAACTTTGAAATCGTCGTCTCGTTTGACAGAATAAACAAACTCGACCGCGATTACTTATATTGGCAAATATGATCACTTGTTTGCCCCCTGAATACCACGTGATATAGCTTTTATCCTATCGATCCTAGATGGCGCATTTTCGGAATACTGGGGTTCCTCAGGGTTCCCTGTTGGGACCTAGGCTTTTTATTACTTATATAAATAATCTTCCAGACAGCATTAGAAGTGGCGAAGTTTACATGTATGCTGACGACACTACCATTTATACCATTGGTAATACTACTGATGAGGTTGCTATAGCCCTCCAGGTGATATTAGATCAGCTACAAACCTGGTGCTAAAAGAATACGTTAATTATTCATAAAGGTAAATGCGATTCAGTATTCCTGGATACAAAACCCTTTATTGGCCCTCTGAAGCCTTTAGTTTGGGGAGACAAAACCATTGAATACATATCTTTCTCTGTATGTCTTGGTATAGCCATTGATGAAAGACTCTCCTGGGCCAACTATGTAAAATCGGTCTCATACAGCTCTAAAGTTCAAATGTTAAGACGCATAAGCTCTTTACCAAAAGCCACACTAGAAACAATTCATTACAAAACAGTAATCCCAAGCGTATTATATGGTATGGCTGTGTCGGGCTCTTGCTCAGATTATTTGATGAAAGATCTAGAACTAATCCACCTCAGAGCAGCAAGACTTATCCACAAACTACCAAGAGACATGGAAGACGCAACAGTACTCATAAATGCAAGTTGGATGCCATTAAAATATTTTTATTGCTCTCGTATTCTAAATATAACGCACCTCCCCTCGGGAAAAATCCGATTTTTCCTGAGGGGAGGGGGGTCCGTACACAGGCTACATAAGAGACAGACCCCACCACCGTTGGGGTCTGCTTTTTCTACTCTTTTCGAATACCAACGAGGGTTCTTTTACGTTGTCCCTTCCAATTGTTAAGAAAGGATGAAGAAGACAGGGCTAACGGCTTAGTGTCACCTCTTAATGACGCGATCATCTGAGACATCTAAGACAAGATCTTAAACGCTTCATCGTGTACTATTGTAGTCTGCTACACAGCCGTTTTAAGTGTCGTCACGCAACGCTCCTCCTGCCTGACGACACTAAAAACGGCTGTGTAGCAGACTACTACTATTGAGTCATGGATGCTCTTGGGAGGATTACTAAGCTCATAAGAACTCGAAGTGGCAATTTGTTGACGTCACAAGCGTGCTCAACTGGAATACGAAACACACTGACGCTATCGAATAACAATATGATCAGTTAGGCGAATATTCCAGCTATGTTATAATTTTAAAATTTTACGGTTATTACTTTCAAAAATTCTTATAAGTCAACTCTAGCCTTGTGGACTCCCGCAATAACAGACACCCCGATAATACGGACAGCAACTAAATCTCATGCAAAAATAAATTACAGATGTCTGACTAAAATAAACTCCCGTTATTACGCACTCTCACTAATAAGGCCGACCGTGACTAAACAGAGTTCCCTACAGTGTCCGCTATATAAAGGGAGTTGACTGTTCTTGAAACCGATCTACACTACACATTTGAAATTCAAAGTACGTCCTCTGTTACAAGAGTTTTAACCGACGTTTCGGCAATGCTGCCTTCTTCGGGGTACAAAAGGAATATACACCATTAAAAGGTTTCCCGCTACAAAGTTCGTTAAATTACGTAGCTCACGTGCCCTATTACGAACGTTTGTATCCTGAAGAAGGCAGCATTGCCAAAACGTCGGTTAAAACACTTGTAAAAGCGTCGATTTTACAATTTCCAAATTAGCGTTGAGGATAAGATACTCTCCTCATATTTGTAATTAATTTTGTACAAACTAGTACAAAAACTTGTTGTACAAACTAGTTTAACGTTAGCTTAATAAGAATAAACTCTTCTCTTTTATGGACTTAACAGCCGGGCCTTTTCTCAAAAACACAACTCTGAAAAAAATCTTAATATTTAAGCCATTACTCATTTATTTGCTCTTGAGGATGTAGTCGCCTTTGATTTGGGGTGTCTCACTACTAGTGCCTTTACTTGTTTAGCTTCCGGTACTAAAATTCCTTTGTTCCTTTGGGGGTTTCCCACAGTTCCTCTGTTTTCAATGTTGTAGGTGTATACGAGGGGTTTTGCCCCAGTGTTTTCTCCGATTTGAGATTTGACTTGAGTTTTTCTGCACCTTGAACGGAAGCGACACCTGTTGTATATTTTGTTTCGATAGCTTTTTGCGCAGAACTCAGTTCAAACTTGGGATGTCGCTGCATGGCGTTGTGTTCAAGCAGCAATCTACGGAGGTTATCGTTAGCCTTTCTGGTACACAAGTGCAAGGGTGTATATCCCCATGTATCTTGAATATTTACATCCGCGTTGTGTTCAAGTAACAATCTACAGAGGTTTTCGTTACCCTCTCTGGCACATAAGTGCAAAGGTGTATATCCCCATGTATCTTGAATATTTACATCTGCGTTGTGTTCAAGTAACAGTCTACAGAGGTTTTCGTTACCCTCTCTGGCACACAAGTGCAAGAGTGTATATCCCCATGTAACTTGAATATTTACATCCGCGTTGTGTTCAAGTAACAATCTACAGAGGTTTTCATTACCCTCTCTGGCACACAAGTACAAGAGTGTATCTCCATCTTCATTCTGAATATTTACATCCGCGTTGTGTTCAAGTAACAATCTACAGAGGTTTTCGTTACCCTCTCTGGCACACAAGTGCAAGGGTGTATATCCCCATGTATCTTGAATATTTACATCCGCGTTGTGTTCAAGTAA